TCCAAAATAGCGCAGATAGTGGCCTGGTGCTGTGTACATCATACGGAAACGGTATTCTTAATTTTTTTGCAAACCTGAACACTCGCACCCGGTTCATTAGATTTGATATCGCAGTGTTTATTAAAGGAAATAGCCCGAAAACTGACACTAACCCATGACATCGTCCAATAATTTCACATTTAGGCCGTTATCGAGGTGAGAGGCTAACCGAAGGCGGCGTAATGGTGGTCTTAACGACCACATATTTTCCAAGCACAACTGTATAATTTGCTGAGTTGTCTTTGAGGTTTTATAGCGTAAGTATTTTCGGTAACGAGCTCTTTCCAAGCCGACAGCTTAAAGTATTAAGCTTGTGCGCAACGAAAGAGCAGATAAATTGTTTCGGCTGGAGCAGGTGTCCTCGCCTTGCACATGCTGGAACTGACACTATTCGGCAAGGTATATGGTGCCATTTAATGTTGATTCTTTCCGATAAACGAACCATCTGACATTGTACGGCCCAAGCACGAATAAAAGCGATGTTTATTGGTTGCTGACTGTCAGTAAGAATGCTAATTGCTTTCGATCTATCGGTTAGCCGGATTTATAAGAAGAGTTGTTGTGTCAATCGGGTAGGTGTCTGGTTTCATGCATGGAGCGAATATGCGAGTCCGAGGTTCATGTGGCAAACAAGATAAACGCGCGATCACTGGGACAGTACACGTAGTAGTCTGAGCTTTCGGTCTCATACAGGAGGCCATCGCCCGAGACTGAGAATGCTGTCAGCTTAGCAGTTATTGTAGGTTTCTAGTTTGTTCGAATACCGAGAGAACAAAATCCTATTTTAAGGTCATCGCCGGCCTCGACATTTTCCTACTTTAGGGTTTGTGGGTGGAAGTATTAGTGGCCACACGAGCTCTTTCCAAGCTGACAGCTTAAAGTATTAAGCTTGTGCGCAACGAAAGAGCAGATAAATTGTTTCGGCTGGAGCAGGTGTCCTCGCCTTGCACACGCTGGAACTGACACTATTTGGCAAGGTATTTGGTGCCGTTTAATATTGATTCTTTCCAATAAGCGAGCCATCGACATAGTGCACGGCCTGGGTAAATTTTATGTGGACAGAAGTCTCAATTTTCGGGTTTTTAAGTTACTAGAATTCACAGCCAATAATCAGTGATGTGGAGAGAAGTTTCCAATGTAAACGCAAATATATCTAGTGGGTGTTGTACATGTGCAAGTCGACTGTGGCGTGCCGGGGTTCTGAAATTGAATCATCTTGTGCCCTGCCAAGTTGTTAACTGATTGGATTTATTGTCGTGTAGAATAAAAACAGTGTGTTTTGGTTGCTGACTGTCAGTAAAAATGGTTAATGCTTTCAATCAATCAGTTAGCTGAGTTTAGGAGTAAGTTTGTTGTGCCAAACAGGTAGGTGTCTAGTTTGCCCGAATACTGGGAGAACAAGGCCCTTCAGCCCTTAGGTCACCGCGTGTTTCGCCATTTTCCTACTTTAAGGTTTGCAGGTGGAAGTATAAGTGGATAAAATAGCTCTTTCCAAGCCGACAGCTTAGAGTATTAAGCTTGTGCGCAACGAAAGAGCAGATAAATTGTTTCGGCTGAAGCAGGTGTCCTCGCCTTGCACATGCTGGAACTGACACTATTCGGCAAGGTATATGGTGCCATTTAATGTTGATTCTTTCCAATAAACGAACCATCTAACATTGTACGGCCCAAGCACGAGGTAAGTTTTACGTGGGCAAAAGTGCCTCTTTTGGAGTTTTAAACTTACGAGGATTCGCAGCCAATAATCGGTGATGTGGAGATAAGACATAATTTCGCCAGGAAATAAGTTAGCATGCCACCTTGACGCCGAAATCAGATTATCATGTTAACCCCAGGTTTTTAACTGATTGGAATTTTGTCGTTTAGAATAAAAGCGAGGTTTATTGGTTGCTGACTGTCAGTAAAAATGCTAATTGCTTTCGGTCTATCGGTTAGCCGGATTTATAAGAAGAGTTGTTGTGTCAATCGGGTAGGTGTCTGGTTTCATGCATGGAGCGAATATGCGAGTCCAAGGTTCATGTGGCAAAGAAGATAAACGCGCGATCACTGGGACAGTACACGTATTAGTCTGAGCTTTCGGTCTCATACAGGAGGCCATCGCCCGAGACTGAGAATGCTGTCAGCTTAGCAGTTATTGTAGGTTTCTAGTTTGTTCAAATACCGAGAGAACAAAATCCTATTTTAAGTTCATCGCCTGCCTCGACACTTTCCTACTTTAAGGTTTGTGGGTGGAAGTATTAGTGGAAACACGAGCTCTTTCCAAGCCGACAGCTTAGAGTATTAAGCTTGTGCGCAACGAAAGAGCAGATAAATTGTTTCGGCTGAAGCAGGTGTCCTCGCCTTGCACACGCTGGAACTGACACTATTTGGCAAGGTATTTGGTGCCGTTTAATATTGATTCTTTCTAAAAAGCGAGCTATCGACATAGTGCACGGCCTGGGTAAATTGTATGTGGACAGAAGTCTCACTTTTCGGGTTTTTAAGTTACTAGAATTCACAGCCAATAGTCAGTAATGTGGAGAGAAGTTTCCAATGTAAACGCGAATATATCTAGTGGGTGTTGTACATGTGCAAGTCGACTGTGGCGTGCCGGAGCGCTTGGATTAGATCAGTTTGTGCCCTTCCGGGTCGTCCAGAGTACTGTTTTTGTCAAGAACTACTGCCCCACTCAGCAGCAATAAACATTATTCAGAATGAAAAGGGTGTTTAGTGGTCTCAGACTATTAGTAAAAAATACTTATTGAATTTCATCTGTCAGCCGATCTTAAAAGTAGATTTGTCGTGTCAGTTAGGTAGGTTTCTAGTTTGTGCGTCTTCTTGTTCGTATACCAAGAGAATAAAGTTTTTCTGCCTTAAGGTCACGCGTGTCTCGACGTTTTTCTACGTCAAGGTTTGTAGGTGGAAGTATTAGTGGCCACACGAGCTCTTTCCAAGCCGACAGCTTAGAGTATTAAGCTTGTGTGCAACGAAAGAGCAGATAAATTGTTTCGGCTGCAGCAGGTGTCCTCGCCTTGCACACGCTGGAACTGACACTTCGCTTTATTTGGCGGGCCATTCGCCGCTGTTTGACGTTAAGTGTTTACCGTTGTGACCAGACTGTAAATACTGACGTTCACTTTATTCGGTTTTTCAGACAACGGGGACAAAAACGACCCATTTTAAACCCGACGGCTTTTACAACAGTAGATGTGATGTTAACTCCAGGACGGTCTCTGTTTGTTTAGGAATCTATTACTACAATCCTGAACGACTTCAAGCTTAATCGTAGCGGTTTAAACCATCCAGCAGCGCCTAAAATCTTTGTTTCTCACTTAGTCGGATGTCGGGCTGACCGGCACTTTTAGGTGTCTTGCTTTGTATTCGGTTTGTAAGTCGGAAATAAACGCTTTACTGCTATTACCTGGCAGTTGGTGACCTCACCGCTTAAGTGACTACGCAAATCCATTTACGAGCCTCATTCAAACTTCTGCTTCTCACCCCTCTCAGTTGTCCGCGTTGAATCTTTCCAACAATCGTCTGAATCATCTCCAGTCGTTTGCTGACATCGCCGCCAAGGCAGGACCAGTGGCCTTCTCGGTGGAGCGCATTGATTTAAGTGGAAACTTCTTCCACCATCCAAACAACCTCCAGCCGCTGCAATTTATACCTGGCCTTACGTCATTGGACGTCACGGAAACTCCCCTCGGGGGTAAACTTCAGAACCCAGCTCAGGCCAAGGCGCTTCAAGCGTAAGTCACAGTTCTAGTAATTTCACCTTCATCCTAGAGCCGTCCAGTCCCTCCAGGAATAGAGCTATAATCTCAGGGGAGGTGGCATACACAAATGGCATAGCATTAGTGTAAAGGTGTTGACGCAGTGGGGAAAAAAGACCCTTAGTTTAAGATCGTTGCAGTGGACCGGAAGGTCGTGACAAATGAGCACCGTTTTCACCAATAAATTTAACGCGTCTTCGAGCTCTAACATGCAGCCCCCTTCATGCAATTTTCTTTTTACGTGGCTCCAATAGCATTTATTGCATTTGCCTTCCAGTCGTAGCGTCAAAAAAGTTGACCATTTTGTTCAATGCGTCATATAAGGGGAGCTGTACGCAGGACTTTCCAGTCTCTGAAGATGGGTAGACGGGTCAACTACTTGAAACGTCGGACCTCCAATAAACCCCTCCCGGTGAACGCCTCTTCTTTTGAAGATGGGAGTCATTGTGACTAAAGATGAAATTTCTGCCTAAGGAGTCTAAATCAGCGTCCACGTCTACCAGTGTGCTACGATGGCCAGTAAGACGCTTAAGATTCTTCCAAATTTCAGCGGATGAAAGAGAAAAAGAAAGGGAAGAAGTGGCAAAAAGGTGACTAACAAACAAGTCATTTAGTCTGGCAATCTCTGCTTTTATTAAAACGGCAACGTCCTGAAGGCTGTCACTCAAGCCTAGCTTGTAAAGGAGTTCTTTTTTTAGGCAGGGGGAAGAAATTCTATCCGGTCGTACCATAACAGTATCAAAAGGGCAGCAAATATCGAAAATTTCATTTAAAAACGCTGTCAGGTTGGAAGAACAGGATTAAACATTAGAATGTTCAAGGAAAGTGGGATAGTAAGAGAAATGCAAGTCTGAAGCATGAGAATGTTTTGGGCGGACGTGTTGCGAACCTTAACCTTTCTCTCGGGCTTGGCAAGCAGTGCACATTTTGAAGTGGAATAGATTTTTGGAAGACACAATAAAGTGGAATGATCAGAACCTGACAACGGAGCCCTGTTTTTTACGTAAAAAAGCTTGTTGTGGTTAGTCAGAATATGATCAAGAGGGGCATCTGCGCGAGTATTAAAGGAGACAAGATCATCGAAGTGTAAGGGGACGCAAATTCACGCGATTAAAATCACCGCATAAGAGAGCAAGATAGTCGCAGGACAATATAGCAACTTTTAGTGAAAAGAAGTCGAAAAAATGGGTAAGGGCACCTTCACACGAAGAGGGGGGAACGTAAATACTAACAAGTACACTGCCTTTGAAATTACTTAACAAACGGGGCTTACATAGAACAGCGATGACATCTATCAAGTCAGCAGAGTAAGAAAATAGGGACCTTCAGTCTATACACCAATTTTGATTAACAAAATTGACAACGCCTCCACCTCTGCCACAAAATATTTTCTATCCGTACGAAAGCGGTAGAAAGATGGAGGAGTAATAAGTTGCGAATCAATGTCACCATTTAACCATCTCTTTTGAAGGCAAGCCACTTCAGTTCTACTGTGTTCTTTTTTTCGACAAGAAACCTGGAATTGACAATTTGTTCCTCGACTGCAGCTTGAATGCGTGTTGCTAGCCACACCGGTTTTTTCCTATGCATAGGCCTTTGTTGACGCAAATTTGATAAATTTAGCACGGAACAATCGCAAATGCGACATATTGGCCGAAAAGTGCAGCAGTTTGCATCATGGACATTCTTTAGTGAAATGGACTTTAATTCCCTTCAAAAGGGTGCTAGCGAACTGTAGAGATGGCCTCATAATCTTAGTTCAGACAAACAAGGGATGCAAAACAGTTTAATATACCGAAGGTAGGTAGGCACAGTAATGTACAGTTTATAAAAACCACACGTGAATGGAGAGCTACAAAAAATGGCCGCTCAAATTCAAAAGCCCGCCCAACGATTTGGTCCAGCGATGGGTCCATGTTCGCGCAATTTCCTTTTCACTGTACTCCAATATGCTTCTATAGCGTTGGTATTCTTCTTCGTGGTCGGATCCACAAAATTGGCGGAGTGATTTACCGTCGTATGGCGTATGAGCCGATGACCCAGTAATGCCTACACAGCCGTCCAGCATTGTATTTCCTACGGCTGACCATCGTTTTATCAATCTGAACTTCAATTCCAGGGCCGCTAAGTTGTCGTGTTTCCCACAGTGGCGCCGTTGAGTAGACGTCCTGACAGGCCCAGTACCAGCCGTCGACTGTGTTATGCCCAACCTCGACCTACTGCTCGCACTGTTTCACCCTATCTACTCTCACGAAGACGAGCAGCATTTTCGTAATCTTCGTTTATGTGAGACGGCTACTCTCAAACAGCGAGCCACTTTGAAGTGACTTTCTTCGCCGACGTCGGCTGCATTGAAAGACCATACCATCAAAGCGCAGTCTCTGCAAATGCCTCTTCTGACGATGCGTTTCCACGGGCATTTCGATCGCTCTTCCTGTGTTGTCCACTGTTGGTCGTGCATCGGCTTGAGGGTGCCTAAGTTTGGCAATGGCGGACTAGGTCATAGGCGTTCTACGATAAGAATGTATAACTTTTTCAAATTCTTCGAGTGTACTGCTTGCTTTTTTAGAAAAAATAATTCATGTTTAACTGACATTGGTCTGGCTGACTTTCAATTAAATGTCACATCTACCCCAGTTATAGGTTTGCGTACGTGTTCATTTGGCATATCTTACATTTGTTGGCCTCTTGGGCGGCTTGGTTGTGTCACGCTACAATGTAGCAGTATGTCGTGTCGTTGGGTCAGCGTTCCGACCTCTTATGGGGTTCACCAGCGCCATCCTTCCTTGGAATTCCTTTGACCATCTCGTTTCCCTGATCTCGGAGCCCGGCACATTTCATGTACAGGTGCTATACTTAGCCACCTTTAGTATATAGTTTCTCTGACGCAGTCCAATCGAACAGGAAGTTTGGTAGTGGTTGCCCATCTAAAACAGCCACGGAATGCAGTTGTTTCCCCTCTACCGAAACTTAGCTTGTTGCCAAAGAAGCCATTCAGGAGCCAGTATGCAAACAGCGTACGATCCGAAACCCTGAGCACTAACAACTGCTGTAATGGTGGTTTCTGCAGTTTTTGTTTAGTGACCAGTTCAACAACACATTTTGTCGGCATTTCGGAACTCTACCTTCCGCTTCCACTAACTTGCCCATTTTGTTAGCTTTTAACCCAGGACTTTCTTGATCAGCTGATGTGTCTGTGTGCCTCGTCAGCTGCTTCTCATGGGCGACTATAACCGGCAACTTCCTGTCTATTTTCGTCTTTGTTTGTGGTCTTGTCATAATCCCTTCACTGATTTCGTTTGACAATGGACTCCTTGGACGTCTTCGATACGGACAGACGAATCCTTCACTTCGTGCCCGCTTTGAAGACCCTCGTAAGTTACTTATCTTTTGACCCTGCATTGTGCTTTCCCTGATTTAATGGTATTCCCTTCTTCCATATGCTGATCTCGAAAACCGGAAGTTTAGATGAGCTTTACCTTTAAATTGCGTTGCCTATGCTTGTGGATGTACTTCAGGATGCGTCGTTGCGTCGTCTATCTCTTTGCATGGGTTCTTCGGTATTCCAAATGAGGCGTATAAGTTAAAATACACGTTTAGGTGTGTATATACAATAATATTGACAAAATATGGATTAAAAGGAAAACATACAAATCTCAACAGTGGATACCCTTGCCAAAGAATTCCATAGTCAATATTCTAACGAACCGGGTTTTCAACACCAGTTTAGACTAGGAATCCACCCCTACCACAGCGTCAGCTTTGGAAGTGTACGCCCGTCTTGACCTGTAAGCAAAATCCTAACTTCCTTTTTTAAGATGCCACCCGTCGTTCTAACATATACGGTTATAACTGGGTCGTCGCGACTCCCTTTGCACCTATTTATCACCCCCTAAAGGGCACTCCTCTCGAGACGCACATTCTTCATAAACTAAAACACGACCTGCTTTCGGTTCCTCAGATGCTCGGAGACATTTCATGTGCTGTTGATGGTTTTGAGAGTATTTCGCCAGAACACGCTCGCCATCCGACACGTACTGCACACCTCAGTCGTCACTGTTAGACAGCATCGGACGACTTCGCATCAACAATTAGCTGCTCGAAGTGAGTGGCTCCAAGTCGTCACCTCATGGACGCCAGTCAGTGAGATACCTTTTGTAAACCATGTACGAAATTGGCACCCCACGGGCCAGTGGACCGCCTGGCTGAATTCGACCTTGGCGAGAGCTTACTTACCAACTGCCGAATAACGAGAGCGGGTCACACTGTGCAGACCTGGCGATGGACAGTGATCGCGAGTGGACGACGGGATTTTTAAAACACATGAGCTAAGAGATAAAGTAGTATCAGTTGGACAAGTGGAATACGAGGGATGTATTCAGTGAGTTTATGGGACATGCTATCAACGTGAGGGCCGGAAAAGAATATAAAATCGGTGCTGATGATGACGGTGTACGTCAGCAACAGTAAGTATCCGTCGCGTTCGGCGTTCGAGTGAAAAGAACAGGTTCGTGCGACAGGAACTACCCACTCCGAAAGCTGTGTTGGGCATCGGGGAGACGGTGATGTTGCTCAAGGAACTGTATCAACGCTTTCTTAGTGATCGTCTCCATGATTTTACAGCAGATGGAGGCAAGACTCACTCGCAGACACCCGACTTCCACCCTTAAAAAGATGAGCGATTGTAGCGGGCCTCCAATCAGAGGGTAGGCACCCAGTAGCAAATGACGTTTGGAAGAGCAAGGCTAACGGTTTGGGCATTTCGGGGCTACCTCCTTTAGCAGCTTGGCCGGGATTGCATCAGGGCCTGGGAAGGTCGATTCCCTCAGGTTTAACAACTCTGTCTGAACGATTGCTTCGGCGAAAAAGACCGTTTCAATGGTACGCGTTTCTTCGTCCTCACAAGTGGGGGAGAAAAAATCGGGTTGACTTGTCGCGACGAACTGAGAGTACCGAGAGAGATGTTCAGCCTTATCCTTGTTATCTAAGATTTCCGCACCTTCGGCTGTTCGCAGCAGTGGGAGGGCATCTTTGTTCCGCGCGCTCTGCCTTATATAACTGTAAATGACTTTTTTAGAGTTGCGAAAATTCCCATTGTAAAATTCAAAAGACATTTTGGCGAGCATACGTCTGCTTTCGATAAATTCTCTTCAGGCCTGTGCATTTATATGGCTATTGAAGTAATGAATTAAAAGATACGGGCAAGTAGATAATTAAGCTGTAGCTCGGGTTTGGAGAGGGGAGGGGGAGAGTGAAACACCACAATTCCAGTCGGCGCCCCGGAGAAGGTGGTTCCCGGCGAAGGTAATTACATGCGGGTGGTTGGCTTGGTGGCTTTGACACATGGTAACTGTGGGACCTGTACGAAGTTCTTCTGTGCGCATAGGACCGGTCGGCGTAGCCTGATTGCAGCCGCCTCTGCCGTAGCCAACAAGCGCTGTCCAAGCAGTTTTGGATAACTTGATGGGACCTTGTAAATCACTCTGAAGGCCTCTCTGGCGTCTACACGGTGGTCTGTGTCTACCATGTGCGCGAGGATCGAGCTGTTGATATTTGTCCCTTTCCTAACCATGCTGGGAGGTGTTCTTTCATTCTTTCGGATAACCGCCGGCTCGAGCGACCAATATATTCTGCCCCACAGGAGCAGGTGAAAGAAATAATGCACATAGGGGTGGTCTGAGCTGGTAGTTTGTTCTTGCCCTCTCCGTATAGGATGGGACTGGTGGAGAACAGTACACGGGTGTCAGCTGCTGGAAAGGTCTGTGAGACAGCTTGGGTAAGGCGTCTTCCTAAGAGCTCACTTTATGCATCCCCTTAGAATGGGACCCTGATAAAAAGCCTTTTCTTTATTGCCGTCAGTATCGGGGGCTTTTGCGGTCTTTCGGCCATGTTCTTAGCAATGAATCGATCAGGATACCCGTTTTGGCAAAAGAGGCTTTTGATGATCTTCAGCTCTTTCTCAATGCTATCAGCTGAACAGATTCTTCTTACTCTTTCTGCCAAACACCGGACTAAATTACGTTTAACGTTTAGCGGTACGAAACTCCCAAAATGAGTGAATTGTCCGGACCACGTTTTCTTGCGATAGACGCTGCGTCGAATGCTGCCGTCAGGTCTTCTACTCAGAAGCACATCCAGAAAGGGAAGTGAACCGGACTGTTCTTCTTCCAGAGTGAATTTTATTGATGGGTGCGCCTGATTTATGTCATCCAGTAGAATTGAGATGTCGGTTAGTTTCGGTGCAATCGCGAATATATCATCCACGTATCGCCCATAGTATCTTAGACCGTTGATCTGGTGACGTAGCTGGAAAGCTTCTAACCTTCCCATGAATATATTCGCCAAAAGTGGGCCAAGGGGTGAGCCCATTGCTACGCCGTCCATCTGCCTATATAGATTGTTGTCGAATAGAAACTGCACGTTCAAGGTACACCTCAATAACAATTCCTTGAGGGCATTCACTGGCATTCCTATATCATGTTGATTGTCGGTAATGAAATCACAAAGGTAGTTGACCGTTTCCGTTACCGGTACGTTCGTAAAAAGGGACGAGACATCTAATGAAAACATGACCATTTCGTTCAGATAGAAGTCTTTCACGCCGTTAATGAATTCAAAAGTATCTCGATAGCTATGTGGCGCCAGTTGATACTGCAGAGGCTTAAGTTTCTTCGCCAGCCATTTCGCCATTATAGCGAGTTCCTCATATCGAGGATTGGACGAACCCTTACGCCATCTTTGTGGATCTTCGGCAAACCATATAATCGAGGTATATGCGTACGGACGGGTCGGAGGCGCCCTACGTCGTGTTCGCTCATGCAACAATCCGCCTGAAGTCTTTTCAAGCAGTCAGTCAGTTGTGCTTCAATCTCATCTGTACGATCCTCCTCCTCTGTCTTTCGAAACTTTTCCTGATCCGACAGAATTGACTGTATGTTCGTAATATAGTCTACCCTGTCCATCAAAACAACGCCGGTTCCCTTATCTGGCCTAGTTATCAGAACGTCTCTGTTCTGCCGGAGCTGCTTTAACTTCTCAATGTGTGACTTCGTCAGCAAGCCCCGATATGTCTGACGACTGTTCAGGTATTGATAAGAGCAATTGACTAACGTAGACTTAAGATGTTGTACGCTCTCTGTCGAAACTGGCTGAAGGCCATGTGTTTGATTCAAGAGGTTCTCGAATTGCGTCTCTACCTCTAGCTGGTTGGGTTTCTGGCGAGGACAGCAAAACTTAGGACCCAACGATAAGGCTTCAATCGATGTTTTATCGAGAGATATGGACGAATAATTGTATACGTACCCACTTGGATCCGCAGGAATCTTAGATTGTGGTTTGCCCTCATGAATACTCCGAAGAAGGGAGGCCCTCTTGATTTCTCCACGTTTGTCTTTGGAACTAACTATGGCGTGGTTTAAAAGATCCTTTTCGAAGACTTGCCTATATTTGGCAATGGAAATTTTGACCCGGTTTCTCTGCAACTGTAACTGTTTAAGGATTCAGGCGTCCGATCAATGAGGGTCTTTTTCCATGGTTTCCTCTCATTAATTTCCTTAAGGACGGAGTCAACCTATGGGGTCTATTCGTAAGTATTCTGCGCATGATTGGGCAGTGGTTGGAGATGAGGCTGTGGACTATCTCTTTGAACTAACACCAACTCTCTCCAGTATCGCCAGAGTGTGGATTCCCAATCGATATGACGAAGATCCCTTTTCATCTGTTCGAAATAGCCAAACAGAAAATGACGCCCTAGCATCGTGTTTGACCTGCTCCGCAGTAACACAAAGCTGTAAATGCACGTTGAAGAGTTCTTCGTGATGAAGAATGGGATCAGTGGGGAAAATTAGTCTTATCCTTACTTTTCGGTACGCGCGCGGAATAGTAGGGTTCAGACGACGCAGGAGTTCTCTGCTTAACCTTATTTGCTGGGTCAGTAGGTTTTATGCGCATCTGTGATTTGGTTGTAGAACGGCGCGCCTGTCCGATCTTCGGTGGAGTTTGCCGTCGAACGCGAACGTCCTTCTGGAAATCCCGTGAATCGGGTTCCACTGCCAGCCTCTATACAGGGCTACTTCCCCAACGACGAGGTCAAACTTCCACTCCTGAGCTTTTTGAAAGAGTACGTTTTCTTATTGTCCGTTTGTAGGCTCATATTTTGCTTTTCTGGCCCGTGAATGCCATCGTGCGCCTTATTGGCATTTCCCTTCCCTCATTGGATGTTTTGACTCATTGATGGGTACCGGGAGTTTTACCTAGGTTACTGGGCTTGCTCTTACCGCCGTTTCATTTTTCAGGTACTTTGCAAGGTACGACTGCTCGCCCCGTGGCACCAATTTGATTTCCTACTACACCCCAGCATCCATTCTTACCTGCTCTCTTAATGGGACCTCCCACGGTTCCAATCGGGGCGTAATGGAAACCATTGAGGTTTGCAGTGGTGATGGTGAACCCCAGAAGAAGATGGTGCTCATGACTGGACACCTGGACGACTCCTACTTCAAGAATAATCGCAACATCCTACGATGCCGAGATGAAGGCCGACGTAAAGAGCTGGTCTCCGTCGGGACTGTGTCTATTTGCTCCGCCCTGGAACGATTTCCCGCCACCGAACATCTCTTGGAGTCCTTCTCTATTGATGTGATCTTTCACTCGGTCAGTTCCGTTGCGCCCTCTGTCGCTATCGAGCTAGCTAACCAGCACTACTCGTTGTCTAATGCTCCTCTTTTTGTTAGGCAAATCAAATGCTTTTCAACGTTACTGGGGTGTTCTATGAAGTGAAGCAGCCGGCGAACGCGAATTCAGGCCTTCGCAAGGTACTCCGCTGCTTTGCCCGTACGATGGTTCTCGTGGCGCCTGGTGGACACATTCTCCAGGACGACCTCATCATTTCCAATCCCCCCGACTCTCTCGTCCAGGTAGGCTGAACTGAGCGTCACTCAGCTCAAGACTAACCTATTTCTATGCAAAATGGGTCTTCTTGAATACCTAGTAAACGCTATTAAACTGATATAGTACTGAGCATTAGCTGATCCCTTGGAGTCCCGGTAATATCTCCTATAACTTCGTTTTCTTCTAAAATCCAGCGGTACATTCGCGACGTGAAGAAGCAGTCACTCCTCAATGCAGTGTCTGTTCCTCCCCCACCCTCGGCACCCTCTGGCTCCTTCATCAGCACCGGCCCCAATGCAAACCTTGCGGATCGAGATGTTGTGCTGGCAGAATTTCGACGTCAAACGGGCATGAACGCTACGTACGCTCGTCAGTGCCTCGAGGAATTTGGTTGGAATTTCGAAACCGCCCTTAACAGTTTCCAGATCGCACACAGTGCGAACAAAATTCCCCCCTCAGCTTTTGTTCCAGAGTAGGGACAATTGTCTGAACAACCCCCAACCCCCCACCCGTCATCTCAGCTCAACTCTCTCCTATCCCTCTTTTCTCACTTCAAGTCCCATAGTATCGATATAAATGCAGTTATTTAAGGAGGGCTTTGGCGGCTGGCCGGTAGCAGTTGTTTGCATACACAAACAGACGAGGGAGCACTGGGCGGCCCAGGTGACGGCGTTTCGAACGTATACCGGTGGTCTCAATGCGTTCCGTAATTGCCAGTCTCCTGTTTGGCAGAGGACTGGGTTTACGCGTTTGTGAGGCCGTCTATGCCGGCAACGTTTCGTTTTCTCCCGTTTTCTGCTCGCAGTTCCACCTACATGGGCTGCCTCCGTTGTTCCTGCTCCATTATTTACTGGAGCGGACGTGTGAACAGTTACAATCCATCGGAGACAGAGAAGAGGAGAAAGCCGCTGGTCGCCTGTGTGTATGCCTGTAAGTTGCTTCTCTCAAACCATTTTGGTGCTCACAACTGCTCCGCCTCCGCCAAGATCTTCCAAATGGTTGCATTTATGTTCCCCCTTTTGGTGAAAGCAGAAGAACAGCATGCACAGATATTGTCAAGGTTGCCCGACTTGCCGTTTGTTATGTAACGCAGAACCCCTCTCACTATGTATCATTATCACACGCTCTTCCCTCCCGTCCCCCCGTTCCGGCCCCTCCCTCTGTCGGTCGCCCTTTGAGATGAAAAAAATGAGCCCATCTTTTTTTAAAGAAACATTTGTCATAAAAGTAATCATGCTACTGATTTTTGATGCAATTGTTCATTCAGTGCTATGGCCAGGCTACTCTGGAGGTGTTTTCAAACTGTTGTGGTAAACAGATTGAAGCACTGTTTTCCCGGGATATATTTGAACAAGACAAAGGCGACCTTCAGATTCTCCTGTCAGGTCCCCGTCTCGTAAAGCAGGGGACACTCAAAGTGCCATTAAGAGGGAGAAGGTCCAGTATGCGTGCGATAACTAGTGTGCAAGGTCGGGTCGCCTGTATATGACATCCGAAATCTACGTTTCGAGCATGTTTGAGGGCACAAATCCATCGGCTCGCGAGGTGCGTGCTCCACTGACATACTGAATCGCGTCGGTCTTACGGTGGGAGCATGCGCGTCTAGCGGTGGTCGGAGGGACGGGTGGGGGGACTGTAACCGTACGCTGACCGAGACAAGACTAGGAAACCGGCGACCTTATTCTTTTGCTAAGGCCACTCCAACTGGTTCCCATTTGAATGGCCAGTTATTGGAGGAGCGGACAGAGCGAAGGGCGCTGGTACGCTGTCCTTTCGTTGCAAGCGACGACCAATGACCCGAACGGCAGGGGCAGCTCCCGCTCTATTCGGATTATGGTAAGTGGCATTACCCTCTCACCCTTTGTGTAAGACAGAGTCAAGCCAACCGGTGATGGGAGTGCGCACTGTGGTGCGAAGTCCTCCGCGTTTTCTACACTTTCTTCTTGCGTCTGCGATCATGCCTGATCAAGCCGGCCTCGTTGAGGTCCCGAACTGTGCCTCTCCACGCGTGACGATCCGACCGACGGCGCAAGACTGGAGGTAACTACGCAGGGCTCTGTACGCCGGCGCCATATCGATAAATCAATTGACCGAGTTCTCATCCGAGGCCCAGGCTTCAATCAATTCTCGGCCTGTTTTGTTTCCGGCGTGGGGTACTATTTTGGTGGCTGTGAAGTTAAACTCGTGACTCATTTCGTAGGTGTGAGCGGCCACTTGTGATAATGCGTCGCCTCGTCGCACAGCCAGCTTATGTTCGCGTATGCGTGATCCGAGCATGCACCCAGTCTGCCCTGTGTAGTTACAAGGGCAATTTTGACACGGAATGCGATACACTATTCCAGATTGCTCTCCAGGCTGTAGTCGATCTTTAATTTCCATGAACCTATTGCGCATGGTGGCTTTGGGGCGGTGTGCAATTCCAACACCTGGCTCCGCAGCAATGCCCTCGGTCGCTTCTGAAACGCCCTTGATGTATGGCAGAGAGTGCCATATCGTCGCAGGTGTTGGTGTTCGAGTCCCTTAATGGGGTTGTTCAGTTGTCCCAGACGGCTGCCGAACTCCACTATGGGCCACGGCCTTGATTTAGTGGAAGAACGACCCAAGTTTTCCTGGGACTGCCTACGACATCGCCGTAAGCTAAAAGGGGGGGGGGGGGTGGTAGGGAGACGGGATGCAGTGCTTTTCAGTCATCCTCTAGGTTCACTGGTTGCTGGACTGTGGGCGGTGGCAGACAGAATCAAATAACGGCATTTGCCTTACAGTAAGGACGAACAGGAAGAAGCAGACAAAAGCAAGCAGCAAGGAGCAAAAGCACCAGATCCCGACGATGTCCATCGTATGCCCCACAGCAGGGTAGGCGCAAGAACGATGACTTGCGCGGGGACTAGTTTATAGTGATAACAGACTACCGCATCCTCTTCTCCCCTCTTGTCTCCCCATGTCTTAGCTCATCCGGTGGCTTAAGGCGTTTTATGGTTGTTCGTCCATTGGACCGGATAAGGATTACCGCCTGGGGTGGCGGCGGTGACTTGTGTGCATTGGCTTGTATCGAGAGGACCTAAGCAGCATCTACCCCGATCTGTTCCCATGCCTCATGTCCCAGTAAGAAGGCTGGGTCCAGACAGTTGGAGCAGCTGGACAACGCCAGGGTTTGCGCTTCTGTATCGCCGTTTGTGTTCACCCTGCCCTCGAGCTCCTGCATTGACATCACTGTAGAAACAGCCGCTTCGACAGGCGCTTATGAGTCATCCTCACGACCTAACAGGCCCATTCAAATTGAATTTGCTTCTGCATGGCAGAACCACTGGATATGCTAGGATATACCTGTGTCTGAGTGTTTAGGACTCTTCCCTATCAACTCGCCTTCAGCGTCCCCCGAGGGCAGCTTTCTTGTCTGGGACTGATAAGGTCTTCGTGCCCTGGACGATCTCCACCCGGTTGACGGCCTTGTGGCTCCTCAATTTCATGTTTTGCAGGACGCCACAACGATTCCGCGCTGGAGATCCAGGGCCATCCACAATTCCAGAAGCAAGTTCCGTCGGCGATGAGCCTGTGAGGGCGGTGGACGAGCGGTGCATCGGTGACCGGCTTTGTTAGCGCGGCCCTAATGCGTAACAGTCCTTCCATAAGGTGTGCCCTGACGCGGATGCCGTTTGCAGACAGAGGGCTGAAGCTAGGGGCTCCAAGGGATGCGGGCTGCGGGCTGCGATACCGTCACCCATTTCAATGTTTGCGACAGTGTTTTCCGAACAAGAGAATTCGTCTACAGTTGCGAGTCGATCTTCGTTGACAGGCACCGCGGGCTCGGCGCATTCCTCGGTTTGCGGGGGTCGGCGGTCAACACGTAGGCGAAGAGGTTCAATCCCCCTCCCGCACGTCCTCCTTGGTTTTCGGGTCCCTTGCACATTTGTCGAACAAAATCTCATGTGGCCTAGCTATTACTACTTCCGGCCAGGCATCATCAATACAGTATGTCACATCACGTTCCTCTTTAAAAAGAACGGCATTGGTCAGAATGAGGCTGTGTTCTGCGCAGGTTTGTAGAAGGAGCAGGCCATTGTCGTCGGAGCCGTTGAGACCATGGAGGCCCAGTACTCCTTTCTATTCAGCATGGTCTGTGCCGACGCGGGCGCTGAAGTCACCAAGGACAATCAACTTATCCGTCTTTGACACGGTCGCCAGGAGGGAGGGCAGGTCCTCGTAGAATTTGCCCCTTACGGCCTCGGGGCTTGTCATCGGGGGAGCGTAGACGCTGATGATGGTGGCGAATTCGCCTCCCCGGAGAGGCAGGCGGAGGCTCATCAAACGATCGTTGATGCCGTGCGGCAGACAGGGCAGTCGTCCCATGATGTCGTTCCGGATGGTAAAAGCGAGGCCCGCGTCCCGTCGCTCTGCCCTGGAGCGACCGCTCCAGAAGAAGTTGTAGCCGGCACCCACCTCGTCTAGTTGGCCTTGTTCGGAGGACTGGGTCTCATTGAGTGCAGCGTTTTCCACCTTGTAGCGCGCCAGTTCCCGAGCCACTAGTGCCGTCCTCCGTTCCGGTCGGTTGCTCCGCGGATTGTCTAAAAGGGAACGAATATTCAAGACTGCCAGAGTGAACGGGCTCACCCTACCATTCTGGCAAGTGCAACGGCAGTGGGCGGGTGGAGGAGGGGGAAGCGAGAGAGTATTGTTTTGATTCTCTTTGTTTCGATCGTGAATTTTGCGTCTGCAACCACGGTCAGCCTGCAGACGGCGTGGTTCCCCAGGATTTGTTTAGGACACCTTTTCTAGATCCTTTTCCCCGCGGGAGTGAGCAGTGCAATCCCTGAATAGAGCTGTTCAGTTGTCCCAGATGGTTGTCGAACTCCACTATGGGCCACGGCTTTGGTTTAGTGGAAGAACGACCCGAGTTTTCCTGGGACTGCCTACGACATCGCCGTAAGCTAAAAGGGGGGTGGGGGATGGTAGGGAGACGGGATGCAGTGCTTTTCAGTCATCCTCTAGGTTCACTGGTTGCTGGACTGTGGGCGGTGGCAGACAGAATCAAATAACGGCATTTGCCTTACAGTAAGGACGAACAGGAAGAAGCAGACAAAAGCAAGCAGCAAGGAGCAAAAGCACCAGATCCCGACGATGTCCATCGTATGCCCCACAGTAGGGTAGGCGCAGGAACTAGTTTATAGTGATGACAGACTTTCGCAACAGATACCGCATCATCTTTTCCCCTCTTATTCAGATCCGGTGTTTAGCAGGGTTGAGAAGATCGGAGACGGGGAAGGGTGCAGGTGACTGCCGCGACAAGAGACCGCACCTTAGCGCTTCACATCATATCGGCTCAGATCCCTCAGAATGTGAGCCATTGCAGACTGACTCTCAGTCCACCAATCGACTGCTTCACACAAACACACGCGGGGTGACCTTGAGGGTCGGGTTATCCTGTTGGTCGACTGCCCTCCGAGCCAGGGGTTTTAGCGCGCAGTTATCTCTTAAGACGCTTCAGTTCTTTTTTTGGTAAGATTGACTTACATGGCCCCCATAACGAGACATGAGAACAGGAACCGTCTGCAATACGGTTGGCTTTGAGCCAACTTCCAGAGGTTTAAGACTAGATTTAAAGCTGACGGTAAGTGAGGACAAAGTTTAGGCTTACGGTAAGAGTTAGCGTTGACTGCAGAGTTAAGGTTTAGGACTATGAACAGGCAACGGATGATACCATATAGTGAGCTTTCCAAAAACATTAGTAGGTTCGATTACGTGACTTTACATATATCACGTGTTTGTGCTCTCCTTACCACTTTAATCCAGCGGGCGACCGTGTCGAGGGGGAACGGTGCTCATACGCTAGGTGTCAGTTCACAGGCGCCTACCTGCGCGTGCTCCGAGCCCTGCTTGCACCCTCTTTATTATCTCAATCCAGGGAGCGGCTAAGAAGACTTGCTAATGGAACGGTGTGGAATTACGTTGGTTCCACTACGGTAGCCATGCGCTGCGAGTTACTACGCGGTTCCCTCCCTGGCCTTCCAGTTGTGATTGCGCCCTCCTTATCCTCTTAATCCAGCGAGTGGCTATGTTGGAGGGGGGGGGAGGGAGTGTACACGCCACCTTCACTTGCTTCCCTGCGCGTGATCAGGTCTCTGCTTGCATTCTCTTTCAGCAGGTGACTAAGTTAGGTATGTTAACTAATATTGTTTTAGTAAGCTAACCATACGGTGTCAATAAAGTGGGGCTGCAGAATCAAACCTCGCGGGGCAACGGTTTAGTCCTTTACTGGGGTTAAGACGCGGAATATTTTGCCTTTCCGGAATTGTGCGCAGGTCCACCTTTATTATTATTATTATTGTTATTATTATTATTACTATTCCGATGTCCTGTCTCGGAGGCCAAATGGGTCAGTCCCCCCGTTTTTTTCATAGTGAGACAGTCGACTTCATGCTCTCTCTCTCTCCCACTCCCAGACCTCAGTCCACTGTTCGAACCGTTCAGTTTTCCCATACCGGGTCAGCTATAGAACACGCATGCACAACTACCCCCACAGCTGGGCCACAAACACTAATAGGATTCCAGGCTCAGTAGAACTTCCCGGGTTCGCCAGCTGCACGATGTACGAACACTGTCACAACAGACTCTTAGAGGTACAGCAGTTAAATTCGCCTTGTGCTCTTCTTTCGTCTAACGCTTCTACCGGATGCCTTTCCCACCCCGTCAGCGGTTCCACCATCCGACTAGTGCGTGTGCTAAAGTTGAGGCTGACACAGGGCTGGTGGGTCAGATGTGGTTATGTAGCCCTATCTGAAGTAAGCAGACCTCAGTCAACTGTAACTCGGGACTGGTGGTAATAGGGGTTTTTGCGGGTGGGGCCGGGGAACGCACAGGCGACGACGTCAAGTAGTTTTGTGCAAAAGAATAGTTATTGGGAATGCGCGGTTTTACTTTGAGGGGTTACGAAATTGTTCCCTAAGAGAGAGAGAGGAATGCGCTTTATTTTGAAATCATATGTTCAAAATTTTCAGCAAAAAGTTGGCTCCATTCACTATGGGCAGTAAATAAGTTAATAGATTATTCAAGAGTCAAAGTTTAACACAAAAAAACGATTATTAAGGGGAGAATTCAAGTCTTAACTTCTGTATTTCTGTCTCTTCGCACGTAAGATAGCGCGCTAGGAATGGCAATACAGAAGCTCGATAAGCCGATGTGCGACAGGATATAAGACGGAAGTTGCGGCGCATCGGGCGGGAAGACTTGGCAGACATAGGATCGGAATGTAGGGGATGGGCAACATCATCTAGAATTCGACCCGCAAATTGCTTGACCGCATTGGAGTGTCGTTGTAAGATAGTGTCAACTAAAAAAATATAAGAAACACCAGCAGCAGAAGAGATCATGCGGAGGATTCGTTTCAAAATTAAAAAAATCCTTTTTTAACAAAGCAGGAAAAATGACAGGAGAACAGTATAGGATAAGAGGAAGAATGCAGGCATCAATGAATCGCCAGACTAAGGGTTGAGGTGTGTGGTAGGAACGTAAACGACGAATGTAGTAAAGAAGTTTCCGAACTTTAATAAATAGGGACTCAATATGGAGGGAAAAAGAAAGATTTGGGGACAAAGTAACGCCGAGATACCTGGAAGAGGATACTTCGTTGGGAAGAATGTCAGAGGAATCAGGGTTAGGAGAGGGCCGCAGTCGAAAAATACACTGAACAGATTTTTGGTTGTTAATTAGGAGACCATTTTCCTCCGACCACGCTAGGACATGGTTTAAGCCATCCTTTAGAGATCGGAGGTGTGTCTGACTTTTGAGAGGGTGTCCATTAACCACATCGTCAGCATACTTGACCAGAACACAGTCATTAGGGGACCTGAGATCATCAGTGTGGAGGGGGAAAAGGTGAGGGGATAGAATGGAACCTTGAAGAACACCGCAGTCATTGGGAAGGGTCGAAGATTTCCGCTTGCCAGATTGGACAAATTGGGTGCGGAAGGTAAAATAATCGCTCAGCCAAGAGACGACCCAGCCTGGAGAGCCATATGCGGAGGTGTTGGAAAGGAGAAGAGGGCGCGGGACCGTATTGAAGGCGGAGGAGTAATCAAGAAAAGCGCACGCATACTCGCGGCAACCCTTGTCTAATGCTTTTAGAGCAGAGTGGACCGCAAGAGCGACAGCATCTAAAGTACTCCGTTTAGCTGTGTATGCAAATTTTAAGGGGTCGGAAAAACTGGAAGAAAAAGGTTTTATGATATCTAGGGCAACTCTTTCAGCAAGTTTTAATATTGCAGAGGAGCAGGCAATTGGGCGGAAAGATTTAGGACCAAAGTTAGCGGACTTTTTAGGGATGAGAGTGATTCTCACTGTACGCCAGGCGTCGGGAATCTTGGACACCATGAAAGACATATTGATTAGGTGCGTTAAAATAGGGGCTATCTGAGAACTGCAAGATTTAAGAAGAAAAGGCGAGACACCATCCGGTCCGGCAGCTGTTGATCCACGGACCTTTTTAAGGTGTTTCTCTACTGTTGTCAAAAACACGGGTTGGAATGTACTCGGTGATAGGGGAATGTCTTCTAAGGGAAGATGGGAGTCATTGTGACTAAATACAAATTTTTTATTTAGGGAGTCTAAATCTGCATCCACATGCACCAGCGTGTTGCAAAGGCCAGTGAGACGCTTAAGATTTTTCCAAATCTCAGCTGAGGAAGGGGGGAAAGGGGGGAAGTAAGAAGAGGAAAAAAGTTGGCTGACAAACAGGCTATTTAGCCTGTCAATCTATGTTTTTATTAAGACGGCAACGTCCTTAAGATTACTACGTAAGCCTAGCTTGTAAAGGAGTTCTTTTTTACGCCTTAACGATTTCAGATAGGGGGAAGAAATTCTATCCGGTCGTACCATAACAGTATCAAAAGGGCAGCAAATATCGAAAATTTCATTTAAAAACGCTGTCAGGTTGGAAGAACAGGATTCAACATTAGAATGTTCATGGAAAGTGGGGGTAGTAAGAGAAATGCAAGTCTGAAGCATGAGAATGTTTTGGGCGGACGTGTTACGAACCTTAACCTTTCTCTCAGGCTTGGCAAGTAGTGCACATTTTGAATTGGAATAGATTTTTGGAAGACACAATAAAGTGGAATGATCAGAACCTGACAATGGAGCCCTGTTTTTTACGCAAAAAAGCTTGCTGTGGTTAGTCAGAATATGATCAAGAGGGGCATCTGCGCGAGAATTAAAGGAGACAAGATCATCGAAGCCTAAAAGTGTAAAGGGGCGTAAATTCACGCGATTAAAATCCCCGCATAAGAGAGTAAGATAGTCGCAGGATAATATAGCAAGTTTTTGTGAGAGGAAGTCCTACTTCTAACCGTAAACCCTAACCATAACCTCCAAACCTAATCCCAACGGTATTGTTTTTATCAGGTGGGGCAACATAAACACATCTCACCTAAAACGGAACCAACAAAAACACGGCCATTGTTCCGCATGGTCACTAGGTCACATGGTCGACCGTGTGGGTGCCTGCCAGTTCGTGTTGAAGCCTGTTTCCCCTGGAACGCATCAGCACATACGCATTCTGGCCAATGAGTATCTGGATGCGTATTTTCACGGGCCTCACCCTGATGTCCGGCGATGCGGAGGGGGGGGGGAGAGGTGGACGAGTCGACTGAAACGGCCTTCGCACGGGGGATCCGCTCGGTCCTGTTTACGTAGCTGCTCGCGTTGACTGAACCTTCGCTAACGCCTTAGTTCGCCTTCTTGTCTGTCTACCCCTTAGGAGGCCTCAGATCCACTGCAGGGGAGGGAGGAAGAGCCGACCTCTAAGTCAGGCTCTCACCGCAAGTGTGTCAATAAGATACAGAGCGTTCCGCCGCCCGAGACAAAGGCTGCCATATTCTCCTCTGTCCGGTGCGTGTTCGTGCATGAGTGTTTGCGATTGTCCACCCAGCCCTAAAGCACAGTCAGGCTGGCAGGAGTTAGAGCTTCAGTAGAAGGCATGCGATGCCTGGTTTCTTGGCGAGACGCCCTTCGGCGGCTCGTGATTTAACAAGTTATGTAGAGCCGAATTTATTGGGGCCAATAAATTTCGTGACGGCTTTTCAACTGCAGCCCGTCTCTGCATAACATAGGTAACGAATGAAAGCGCACAGCAGTATGAATTTGTACAGAATGGTAGTGCATAAGAGCAAGGTCAAGGTTCAAGGCAATGAATAATCAGATAAGACGTCCACATAAGCATCATATAGGAAAGAGGGAGACGAAATGTTAGCAACAAATCACAGTCAGGGGAAAATAGAGGCGTGAGATTACCAGGGCAATTGCAGATTGATCACGTGATCTAACTGCTTGCACAGGTCTGGTTTCTTCCTCCATATGTAGGCTGCTTCCAAATAACGCAAGGTTCGAGTTGTACGTGCTCGGACAAGTACTCGAAAGGATGCTTTAGGGTCGACAACTTGACCGCTATCTAACAGGTGTTTCGTTATAGACGAACAGGGGGTTCTATTTTCCTGTTTGAAAAGCCAATTAGGCAAATGCTCAGCGGCCCTGGTTGCCACTTGCCTTCGCGTTCGCCCAATGTACTTGCATCCGCAAGTGCATGTGAATTCATACACACAATTTGGGGTGGCGTGCATTGGCAAGGCATCCTTTGACCCTTTAATTGGAAGGCTTTTTGTGGAACTGATGAAGATAAGCTCTGCTGCGTTGTACGTTCTTTCAATTGTGCAACGCAAGCGTCGCTTGATCGTGTTTGAGACGTTGTCACCCTTAAAAGGTAGACATATTCACATGTGTTCACATGCACTTGCGGATGCAAGTACATTGGGCGAACGCAAAGGCAATTGGCAACCAGGGCCGCTGAGCATTTGCCTAATTGGCTTTTCAAACAGGAAAACAAAACCCCCCGTTCGTCTATAACGAAACACCTGTTATATAGCGGTCATGTTGTCGACCCTAAAGCATCTTTTCGAGTACTTGTCCGAGCGCATACAACTCGAACCTTGCGTTATTTGGAAGCAGCCTACATACGGAGGGAGAAACCAGACCTGTGCAAGCAGTTAGATCACGTAATCAATCTGCAATTGCCCTGGTAATCTCATGCCTCTAGTTTCCCCTGACTGTGATTTGTTGTTAACATTTCGTCTCCCATTTTTCCTTGTTGATGCTTATTTGGACGTCTTGTCTGATTATTCATTGCCTTGAACCTTGACCTTGCTCTTATGCACTGCCGTTCTGTACAAATTCATACTGCTGTGCGCTTTCATTCGTTATTTTGGCTCGGACTTGTGGATGGTGTCAGTCACGAGTGATCGTACTCCACAAATGGGGAACCTCAGGCAGACAGCTAGCATCTTGCAGATCTCATAACCCCCCGTTTCTCTAACTCTCCAGTTTTCGTTAACCTGACACCCAACAACAGAAACTCCATAAGCGTGTTCTACCCAAACATACATAAAATGCCGTTTGTCCAAGTAGAATTATCGGATTACGACGAGATCCAGAGAACATCCATTTTATTGATTTTGCGGAATAAAGGTGTTTGCGAAGATATCGAAGCGCAGGCAGTAATTCAAGAGTTACTGCTCGGGACGAGAACTGTTGGAGGCGTGGGTGTAGGACATCAATTCTATCAATAGACTCATTGATTTGCCTGCGTGTTCTCACGCGCTCCGCCCACGCAGCCAAGTGGCGCAGCTCACATCGCCGCGAAGTACAAACGGCGTCACCAGGCCGGGGAACCATTGTGGACTACGCGGCTCAAACCAGACCTAGCCACGGACGTAGTCCCTTCCCAATCACGGCACAACGATATAAATGTTCACACGTTGCTGCCCTCTAGCAGTCTCTGATGATGAACTCCAGTTCGAGTTTGAAAGCTAAGGCCAATAAACCTACCGTCCCAGTGATCGTGCCTTCTTCTTCTTTTAAGTTACCACTCTGTTTAACACAGTCGACATTCTCCGAGGCATACTCGACTTACACCTTCTCTAGCAGCTGCTAACGGTCATTCTATCATAAACAACGCTTTACTGGCATGTTCTCCTTGCGTTGTTGGGTGGGTAAAGTGCCCCCAACAAACAGGCCACGTGGCAAATGCGCTGAAAAAACACGCAGGCCATATCATATTGTGACAGGCGTTATCGGATTGCACACCATAACAAATGCCTACGTTTCGGGGTGCGATGGAAGACCCCATTTCCGGCAGACGTCGCGCACAGTTGGACCCCTGTTACCCATCAGGTGTTGTTTCTGGTCAAAAACCTGGTCATTTGCTGTGTGAACCAGAGGGTATGGAGTGGAACGCCAAGGTGCGGGCTCGACCGTGCCATCCACCTGCGCCCTTCCCCGCCTCCGGTCTTCTTGGTTCTGTCTTGACACCGGGCCCAGGTGGAGGAGGAGTGCGGCAGATACTGTGCAAGTCGAATTTTCTGTAAACTAAGTCACGCACAAGTCATCTTTCCTGCTCCCCCCTGTTGCGGAGCACACGATGGACATCGTCGGCAACGATGGCCGAACTGTCGGGTGGGTAAAGGTCGCGTATCCTTTGCAAATTAACAGAGGGCAACAATAGGGTGAAGGATCCCTAAGTAACTTGAGCTAGCCTGTGGACCGTGTCATATGCTGAATGGTGGTGGAGGGGGTTTTACGGGAAGGGCAACACATAGGAGGGAGAGCAAGGAAACGCAGAAGATAGATACATTTATGCCGAAAGTCTTGTGGTACGCTATCATTTGGGAGAGGCTGTTAGCACGACAATTAGACAGTTAGAAAGCAATTTTCACAAAAAACGGATCTTGAATGAAGGACCGCTGGTAAGTTCACATTCAGTCTGGGAGGGAAAGAAATGTCAAACGATGGGAACGGTGAATAATGAGTGATGTTTGCAGTCACACTGAATTTTAGGGTATATTTTTGTAGCTGTTATTTACTTGGGGATCGTGCACCCTATAATTACCTAGCAGAAATCCATGTGAGCACGGATTTTGAAGTAACAGATATTGTTCAGCGGCGGAAGAGAAACGTGAGGGGTAACGGCATCGATATATGACGCAGAGAAGATGGGGGATCGTGGGGAAGGTAGGCTGAAGGGAGAGGAAGAAATGTTTGGCGGGTTGCAGTGCTAAATCAGCGGATGACAAGATGCAACCGGCATGCTGGTTTCCCCTTCTGTCCATTGCGCTTGGAGAATCAGGCTGATGATCCGTCTTCCCAAAATTACGCCTTGCGTACCTCTAAGATGTGATGGTTGCCACTTTGGCCTGGTTGTAAAACATGCGAATCCCGCCGTTCTGACTTGAAGTTTAGCCTGCGGTCTTCTGGGGTGGTAACGGGGCGACGGGCAATCAGTAGGCACCATGGGCGTGCCCCCTTTGACTGACATTTTCCGATCCGTTCGTGTTAGTCAGTGCATAATAACCCTTGTCCAGACTCAGAGTTTTGGTTCACTTATTGAGTACTGGTCACTCTGAGTCAAGCTACATGCGCTCCAGGTTAAACTGCGACGCGAAACAGAGCGTGTGGACCCTGTCCTGCGAGCTAATGAGCGCCAGTTCCATATGATGTAAAGGATCGCAATTGCAATGTAGAGAGACAGAGTCCTAGCCCAATGACAGATCGCTGATTTTCATGTCAGAACAGTTGACTGGAGTTCAGGTCTCAGGGTCGCTGGACAAGAACTTGGAGCATGGCTGGTTAACAGCAGTCAGTAAATCAGAATGCTCCGAAATATGGACGCAGATATTTCGATTGTGGCGAACAACGACTTTTACTGACACTGTAGCAGGCGATTAAGGGGTCACGGTTTCCGCACTGTATCAGAGTGTACGGAGACCTCGCCTCAAGGAGTTCGCCAGCACCTATCTAAATAAATGAACGGGCGAGGAGTGGATATGCAAGCCCACTGAGACAATAAGGCCTAGGGAATCCTGCAACACGGAAAGGATGTTAATATTAGCTTTATCAGTAAGGCAGATTGACGCGGCAAGTAACGGAATCTGTAGAATCAATTAAAGAAACTCGCATTTCCGTCGTACTTTGTTTTATTACTCCAACGAGGCACCGAGATAGACGGCGTAAATTGGAATTTGCAAAGCACAGGCGTGTAAACTGGTGGAAAACGGATAACACCGTGTTATTGGTTAGAGAAAGCTGGATTGAGTAAGACGGTAGGTGGCAGAGAAAGGCAACCCTAACTCTAACCTTAATCCCGACTCTGATCCTCACCCTTTCCATAATCCTGATCTTTGATCCAACCATGACCTTAACCATAAACCTAGTAATCTTTTGAGCATAGCCGGAAAGGTGACTGCTGTAAAAAATGCCTACATAGATCATACAAGCAGGCAAACTTAAGGTTTACACATTCCATCGTCGTCAATGAACGTTTGTGTACTTTGAAAGTACAGAAGTTTCGTCCGATTGAAAACGCTCTCTGATAAACGCCCGTGCTCAAATGCATTTTGCCTCAGACATGCTTCCTCACGCT